CTTATACAAATATTACAAATATACACTTTCCTCAACAACATCTCAGAAGAGTTAAACAGCTCTATAACATTAATAAAGCTAGTAGTAGCTGAGTGTGTTTGGAGTGTTTGTGCTGTTGGCAAACTTAAGTCAAAGGTCATTAACAGGTAAATCAGGATTAGCCCATTTTTGTGGGTCATCGCCGATGCTTAGGTCCAGCTCTACTATATAAATGTCATTTTAGTCTATTATTAGGTGGTTGCCAGGCAACATTAAGGCGTCGTAATATATAATAAAAATATTCAAGTTTTGTGGCTATGAATTGAATGTAACTGTCATGAAATTATGGTATTCAAAAATGACATTTTAGCCCATTTCTAGTCAATATGATGACACTGTATGTTAGATAAGAACAGGTACGATGGACGTACCTGTGTTGCTGTGTAGTAGGAATTTGCAGACAGAAAGAAATGTGTTGTGTTACAGTATTGAACCTGTTAGCAAAAGCAGCAATGCCTCATCGTGTAGCCAACTAACTGCACACATCCATCGTACGTTCACTACAAATCCTCAATCTCTATCCGCGTAAGCATCGTGTTGACATGCTCACCTTTCCCCATCTTTACCATGCATCCCACACAACATGATGTTACAGCAAGTCTGTTTGGGAGACGTGTCAACACAGAAATTAACAGGGTTATTTGGGAGGCTACATTTTGTAAAAGCTGCTCAGACAGCAGTTCTTAGATGCAGTACCAGCGTTGCTGTCATGGTTACAGTTACAGCCTGGTTACAGTGACATCAAAGCACAAACCAGAAAAAAAAATCCATTACTGTGAAAAACAGCAGTAACGGGGTGAGAAAAATATATGACACAGAGTTTAATTGACATTAGTCCTCCCCCTCTCCCTCCCCATCCTGCTCCTCCTGTCTCAAACACTCCTCCCACACCTTGCCCTCGTTCTTGACCCCTGACCTCCCTTCTCATGGGGCCTCTGCAGAGCTGTCTGGCCCCCCATGTCGCGGGCCTATTAACAGGCCTCGGCTCACTGTAATGATTCCTCTCCTTATGTCTGTGCAGCTGCTGTAGCGCTGAATAGAGAGGATAAATCTGGGATCCTCAACATCATTGTTTCACTGCCACTCTCTGCTGTCGTGTGGGGCGGACAGAGCAGGGAATAGCTGCGGTTCACTGTCCCTCCCTCCTGTTGACAATTTATTTTCTCTGATGCAACAGATCTGCTGCTTTCGCCAGCACGTGTCACAAATTTCATTAAGCAAAAGTTGTGAAATTTCCAACTCAAGGACCTGATTTTTCAAGAGTCAAAAAAGTTCTTTGTTAAGCTGGAAACTGACGTGATGGATTTCATCCCATCATGCTGTAAATTAAGATTATTGTGACCAAAACATCAGGTGAAATGTGTTGCAGTAACTCAGAAGTCCTCCAAACGCTGCAAACAACAAACGCTGCATGTGTTTGTGAACATTTGAATCTGTGTGTACAGTATGTGTCATGGGGCAGCAGACAGCTGCTGCAGGCTCCATCAGTCAGCTGCTGTATTTATAGGGTGATGACCACAGAACAACAACAGCTGCATCACACGGGGACAAACACAGAAAGTGAGAGAGAGGACGCAGGAATCTCTTCAATTTCACTGCTGCTCAAAATGGCCGGAGTAGCCAGTTACTGCCCAGCCCAGCGCTGACGGGCATAAAGTGCACAATGCAAATAAGACTGTACAAACTGCTGTTCTGGTTCAACTGCTAACCTGTAGATACCACTGATCCACAATGGGACGTTTACATGCTACTGTTTTTGTCATGAATCGCTGTGCGGCAGGCAGGAGTTGGACCCAAAATGCAGGACTCACAGACTCAGGGAGGTGAACTCAAAACTCAGCTTTATTTGCTGGCAGGGAAAAAACATACAAACTAATCTAAACTGGGAACTTAGAAAACTCACAGAGAGACACACAGGGAGATCCACACAGCATGAGGGGACGACGGACACTGAAGGCAAGGGTAAAAACTAGAAGCCATAGAATAGATCACACACAAGTACAATAATACAAAAATCACAAAGAACTAAAAACGCTGGGTCAGGAGACCCAGGACCGTGACAGTACCCCCCCCTCAAGGGCTGGCTCCAGACAGCCCAAACACAGAAAAACAAAACCAAACAGAAAACAACCCAGGGCGGGCGGCGGGGGCCCAGGACGGAGGGCTCGGAACAGAAAACAAAAGAAGAGCACAGCAAACACCGGAGCCCAAGAAAACAACCCAAACACAGAGCAGTTCAGGGGGCCGACCATGCGGAAGGCAACGGCGGAGACGTGGAAACAATTCAGGGGGCCGACCGTGCGGAAGGCAACGGCGGAGACGTGGACACAGTTCAGGAGGCCGGCCGTGCGCAAGGCAACGGCGGCGACGTGGAAACAGCTCAGGAGGCCGGCCGTGCGCAAGGCAACGGCGGCGACGTGGAAACAGTTCAGGGGGCGACCGCGCGGAAGGCAGCGGACAGGCTCTCCAGCTGCTCACGGCGTTGCCCTGGCAACCATAAGGCGAACTGGAGGTGGGCACCAGCGACCAGATCGAGGCTGGACCAGACGAGGACTCGAAGACAGCGGAGGCTAGGCTGACCAGAGCGAGGACGAAGAGGCTCGCGAAGGCTCTGAGGCTGGACGAAGGCTCTGAGGCTGCAGCAGACGAAGGCTCTGAGGCTGCAGCAGACGAAGGCTCTGAGGCTGCAGCAGACGAAGGCTCTGAGGCTGCAGCAGACGAAGGCTCTGAGGCTGCAGCAGACGGGTGGCTGGATGGGCTCCTCGGGCCCTCCAGCGGAGACAGGAGGCTGAACGGGCCCCTCGGACCCTCCAGCGGAGACAGGAGGCTGAACGGGCCCCTCGGACCCTCCAGCGGAGACAGGAGGCTGAACGGGCCCCTCGGACCCTCCAGCGGAGACGGGAGGCTGAACGGGCCCCTCGGACCCTCCAGCGGAGGCCAAAACAACGCCAACAGGCATGAAGTCCGTTGGCCGACATGAGGACAACTGGCGCTGTACTGAGCACTGACTCTGCCCAGGCAATGCGAACATGGTGCAGTTCTTAGGGGGCTGCTTAAACTTCAGGGGTCCAGAATCAGCCGGTGACTGAGACCTAGCCTCTGGGGAAGCCCTGGAGTGGCAAACTGTGCCAACGGCGGCTAAACCATGGAAAGTACCCTGAGTAGAAATCAAGTTACCTCTCTGCATGGAGTGAATGAGCAAAACTGGCGACACAGGAGACTGAGCAGAGAGTGGCTGCTGGGCAGCTAACTGAGTTACTGGAGACACGGGTGAGAGTGGGAGCTGAGCTGCTGGAGACACGGGTGAGAGTGGGAGCTGAGCTACTGACAGTGGTGAAGTAGATAACTGCACGGGAGACTGAACTGAGGGCGTCTGCACTGGCACAGGGGACTGAACTGATGTCTGTTGTAACGGAGGTGGTGAGAGTGGAGTAGGCAGGGGAGTTGATGACTTCACAGGAGAATGAACCAGAGGTGAGTGCACAGGAGACTGAGCTAGAGGTGGTAGTGATAGTTGAGGGGAAAGTGGAGCTGGTGATTGAGTGGATGACTGTGCTAAGGGATGCTGCACTGGGGACACTGGAGACTGCACTGGGGACACTGGAGACTGCACTGGGGACACTGGAGACTGCACTGGGGACACTGGAGACTGCACTGGGGGTTGTAGTGGAGGCGTAACGGGTGGAGGAGTGGCTGAATTGGCTGCAGGTTGGGCGGCTAATGGCTCAGCTACAGAGTATAGTAACGGCAGGGCTATGGGTTGAATGTCTGACTGAGTAGCAGCCTGAATGGCTGGGTGTAGTGATGGTTGTGGTGGAAGGGAAAAAGGTGGTAGTGTGGATGATGGAACTAAGGGCGACTGAGTGGCAGACCGAACTGATGACTGAAGCGATGGTAGAGGTGAAAATGGAGCTTGTGGTGGAATTAATGACTGTGCTAGCGGGGACACAGGAGATGGAGCTAGCGCTTCTGGCTGGGCAGCTAAGTGAAAAAACACAGCCCCGGAATAAACAGTCCCAAAGTCAGGAAACTCTTGATTGTCCCTTCCACTCACCACAGCTGGCAACTCAGACGTCTCGGGGTCCGGCTGTGGCGGTGGGTGTCGGCGGCGTGAATGCCGTTTTCTTCGGGAAGCCGGAGGTGCGGCGATGGAGGAAACTGGCAACGACGGAGAGATCACGGCCGGCTCCTCATCCTCCGACCACATTGCTGCGAGAAAAGCAGCGGGTGAGTGACAGTCAGAGTGGAGGGTGAATGGAGAGGAGTTCAGTGGCAGCAGCGTGGAAACGTTTCCCGATTGTGGCGGTCGCTGTTGCGGTATGACGAGCTCGCGAACTTGTACTGTCTCCTTGGCTTTCTGCAGATTGGACAGTAGGCCCGAAAATCCTGAGAGCTCGTGAAGATGGGGATTCCCCTTGAGAATTGCCTCGATGGCGTTTATCCCAATGGACATTGCTTTAATGTCCGAGGCGTGGGAAACTCGCTCCCACAGGCTGAAGATGCGGGCCAAATCGCTTTCCCGGGAGGAGCCTGCTGGGTCCATGTCTGGTCGCGTCGTACTGTCATGAATCGCTGTGCGGCAGGCAGGAGTTGGACCCAAAATACAGGACTCACAGACTCAGGGAAGTGAACTCAAAACTCAGCTTTATTTGCTGGCAGGGAAAAAACATACAACTAATCTAAACTGGGAACTTAGAAAACTCACAGAGAGACACACAGGGAGATCCACACAGCATGAGGGGACACAGAGAGACATGAAGGGCAAGGGATCAAAACTAGAAGCCATAGAATAGATCACACACAAGTACAATAATACAAAAATCACAAAGAACTAAAAACGCTGGGTCAGGAGACCCAGGACCGTGACAGTTTTAAGATAAAACTGCAAGAAAAAGTCTATTTTAGACACTTGTGAACATGTAAATTAAACTTTTCTACATGTCAGCAGCCAGCTTTTTAGTGCCAACACTTTATTTAAGTGAGTTTCAAATCAAATCAGTCAGTCCGAGTGTTTTACTGTAGTACTATTCTATGACTGCAGATGGAGAGGATGCTCTAAAAATGCAATTAATAGTTTATCTGATATGCAGCAATGAACGGTATGGCATCCCGACCCCAGACCACCATCACGATGTTGAGGACAGGGCTCTGTGGGGGCCATACCATCTGTTGCAGGGCTCCTCCATGACTCCCCAATGATAATGCACCATAGACGATAATCCAAACTGATGACAGCTTTTGCACAGTCGTAGAGATCGATCTGCTTCGAGGGCATGAGTTCAGATAAATCCCTGTATAGAATTATCATGCTTGAGATTCCAACCAAAAGTAGAATCAGCGTGGAAGTGCCAAAAAAATGCAGTTGTTGATGATACAGAAACAGTCACTTGAAGCCCACAGCAGCGTGTCTGAATGAAAAGCATTTATGCCTCCTGGTCTCCGTACACTCAAAAAGCCATGTCAGTGTTATTTTTCACGTGGCTTAAGTTGGCAGTGTAATTGCTGCATGTTGTTATATGGGTGTGATTTGTTGGGATTTTTTGGTTTTTATTGGCAAAAAGCAGAGTTATGTTCAGCCGCCAACTGTCATGGTGAGTCAGGCCCTGCAGAGACCAGACGTGTGGCCAGCGTTTACTCACCTGTAACTTAAAGAACGCTCCTACAGAGTGTTGCAGTTCACAGTGGAAGATCCTAGAAAAGCTCATAGTGATATTAAATATCTGTTGGTTTTCAGCTCTGCTAAAAAAAAACCCACAGATGGAACCAATCAGTGTCTGCTAAACATCACTGCTCATCTCAACTGGACTCTTTGACTGTATATGTGCTGCTGGAAGGGATGTGGTCTATGTAACAACCTTCTAGGGTAGGTGACAGCATGCGTACGAGTATGTTATTTAGCACAAATGCAGTGAGTCAGTCTAAGGACAGAGCTTGCTAACTCAACTTTTTAGCTCATAACTAAGAACACCAGCATCTTTTCCAAATACGATCACTTCCGGCTCCAAAACAGAAATGTGATGATGTCCAATATACCAGTGTTTAGTGAAGTAGTTTCAGGGTCTTGGTGTTTGTGCATCAGGCTCATGGCACGTAGTGTAAGTGAACCACTTTAACAAAACCACCCGTGCTTTTCCTGCTGCGACAGGTTAAAATCTTTGCAGTGAAAACACTGCTGATCCTAAAGGGGCTGCACACCCACATAAGTGTTTTTTCACTCATTAGAATAATTAGGAGTCTGCTGTAGCTGGAGGTGGGCAGTTCCATGCTGCATTTATGTGTCACTAGCAAGACAAATAAAATAAGCTGCAGCGACGTATTACCAGTCAGTGAGTACCTGCAGTTTTTTACTCACTTCTATTCTACCCTGTTCAACAGGTATATTGAAGCCTCATTAAAGTTACAAATTATGGTGTTGCTTTCCAACGCTCAGTTAGTGCACATACTGTTATTGTACACGACAGCTCATTTCACGGGTGAGTGCAGGTTAATTCATTTGGCCAAAAAGAAAAACAGGTGCAACCAAACCAAGAGAACGAGCACGCTAACAAGTTAAAACACCTGGTTTACTGTAAGTGTGAGCACTTCACTGTTTTACCATCACACGCGAAGAGGAAATCAGTAAAGTTCAGCAAGGAAACAACATAGAAGTAAATCTGTGATCTCAGGTGGACCTTCAAGGATTACGATTTGCTTTTACTTTCCAGACACGACTGACAGCAACGGATCACAGCCATTAACTTATTTTGTTACCATTTAAAGTTTGAAGAAACTGTAACTTTTTTATTACAGAGCAGAATGTGCACACGAGAGCTTCTCAGAAAGCAGAGAGACATCTGTGTTAGCTGGTAGCACTAGCTAACAACAGCAGTGTTCACAGTGACAAATTTCTACTAGTACTACTGATGACTGTCAAATCTTCACTTACCCATTACTGCCAGGAGTCACCTGTGGATCCAGGGCTCTGCTTGTGTCCTAAGGATGGAGAGATGAGACAAGTTAATATTAAAAGGCTTCTCTGCCACCACAGCTGGAGAGTCTGAGACAAAGGGAAATTCAACTAGGAATGGTTGATCTGAGCTGCCTGGACAAGTAAACTTAGTTAAAATTAGTGTTACCCCCAACAAGCCAACGCACCAACAAAACCAACGTTTAAAACAATTGAAAGTTTAAACAGTGCATGAAGCTTCTTTAATAGTTAAAGTCAGAAAATCCTTTTTTTGTTTGTTTTTGAAGTCTATCAAAGCTTCTGACAAATAAAAAAAGAGCATTTACTTGTACACAGAAGTTTTATTTAGTATTATATTTAGTACAGCTGGCATGTTTCTGCAGTTTTTAAGCTGTGTAATTTTTTAGGCTGGGAGAGCTGGTGAGACAGTGAGGATTTTAAGAACCGCAAAGATACTTAGGGAGAACAAAACCAGGAAAACGTAAAAGCTGAATTTACCGAGAGCTGCTAAAATGTTTATGGTTGTAACAGCGATGTCCATGTGGGGAAAAATCTCCAGGTACAAACTGTGTGACCTCTAGAGACTGGATTCATCATGGTAGGAAATGAGCCCATAAACGTCTGATGGGCTTTGTGGTCAGGAATACGACGAGTGATGGTCTTCATTCGGGTTAAACAGAAGGACACAGAAACTTGATTTGATTTGTTGGACGTAATAATGACTTTTATTTATTAATGGACTTGTTTTTAAAGGCACCCTTTCACGGAGAGTCCAAATCTGACCAGTCTATGCTTTATCACACGTGTGAATCATGCAATCCAATATTCCTTCTAGCAGTTATAGTTTCAAGTCATGGTAATGGCTTTTAGCCGCGTTACGTAGCCCTACATCAAAATGATCACATGCAGTTTGATGTGCAGATATTAAATCTGGGACGAAAAAACTGTTTTTTAATTTGGACTTTGCAGATTCTCCGATTTCCCGGGGATTCCATCGTGAATGTGAAGCAGCAGTTTTACATTATACTGCAAAGCAACTGTAAAGCGTCACTGCAAAGATAAAGGTCTGTGGAGAGTCAGGGGCCTGCTGACGCTGAAAGGATGTATCTGTAAGAGGAAGGTAGATTGTGTGTATGTGATCATTCGGCTGTGACGCTAACTGATTTCTAATGACAGGCCGCTCCTCTGTGGAGGACAAAGTCTTTCAAAACGAGTTTGGCGCCTTGTTTACAGTGTGTAAAGGAGCTTTAACGAGGCCCATTAAAGACACCTGGCGGCGCTGAGCAGGCTCACGAGAAAATGACGCCGGCTTCGGTTCCCCGGTCGCATCCCGTCCCGGCGAACCCCATTAAAAGTGCGACGCGTCTCGTTGCACGTGCTCAGTCTGTGCTGCTTCGTTTCCGTACGGCTTTGAAGCATTTAAAGGTTGGCGGGGACAAAGAGGCGAGTGAGCAGGAGGGAGAGGTTCATCCCGAGTTTGAGCTCAGCTGTGATGTAACTGTGGACGATGGCTGTGCCGCAGTCAATTTCAGAGGAGATATCCTCAAACGACCTCGCCTCCCTCCCTTCTAGCTGTCTCATCCCCCCTCTCTCTCTCCAGGCTGGTGTCATTTATCTCCTCACGCCCCGTCTTTCTTGCATTTTTTTTGCTACAAAAAGCTCCAACTACCCTTTTATACCCTCATGCGGGCTCTAATATTATCTCCTCTCTTGCTGTCAGCTCGTCCATGCATCACTGCCTCTGCTCTCAGGCTCCAGCACTCACACACAGGGAGGATAATATCTCCCGCTAAATTCATTTTAGCAGGACTCGAGCAGCACGTAGCAAAACGTCCAACCCCATGGTAAAGCTGCTCTCTGGATAACCTTACCGCTTTTAATAACAATATATCCCCCAGACGTATTTAGTGCTACTATATGTTTATGGCCCCTCTGCACATCTCCAGCGCTCCCTGCGCCGCTCTCATCATCGCTCGCCTTTTGCGCTTCCCTCCCTCCCTCGCCTCTCCCTCTCCTCATGTAGCTGAGATGCTACTGCCATTACTAATTCACACTTAAGCTGATTATTTGTGAATATCAGATCATTTTAAACCCCTTTTGTGAATGCTGTGTCTCCACACACCTATATATGTGTGCATGAGTGTGTCTCCTCTCCTTTCCCTGAATGATGGAGGGTGGGGTAATCTGCAGCCCCGTTGCCATGACACCAGACAGCCCTTGCTTGGCGAAGGCACGTAGCTTCCTCTCTGCTCTATTTCCCCAGAGCCCTCCGCTCAGGAGCATGTGTGCATCAGTGTGTGCACGCGTGTGTGTGTGTGTGTTCTCTGAATCTGGGAGAGTCATATATGATGCACATGATGGAAAAAAACCCTCATATTTACTGTCTCAACATGTGCAGCGGAGGAAAGGATGGAGGGGAGGGGAAAGCAAAGAGGACCCATCTAAAAGGCAAATAAAGGATTTTTTAATGCAAATATTTGAGCTAAACCACTAAACTCAGGGTTAGGATTGGAAATTATTAGTCTACTAGACATTCCTGTGAATTATAGTCGGCTTCATCCGCTCCTCTGCAGGCTTCCTGTTGCAGACGCTCACAACATATGCCCACCGCAAATCTTCTTTTACGAAGCGGGTCGGTTGCCCCTGCAGCCATGTTTCATTTTTATTCGTCCTGGCTGCGGCTGAAGCAACTTACTCTGAAACCCAAACTGAGGGCAGCTTTTTCAGTCCACACGCAGTGACCCCAGTCACCTCACACACAGTCACGAGTGTCAGAAT